TGTATATATATGTATATATATGTATATATATACATGAATATATGTATATATATATATATATATATACATATATTCATCGGCTGTCTGCGCAACATCTTAAGGCAAAAACACATGACCGCGTCGGTTTCACAGTATTTGTCGGTCTTTATTTGTAGGGCTGTCACTGAACCAATCATGTTTATAAAATTAAATGTTTCAATGATTCTTCGTCTACCCTATTTTAGAACTGACGCACGTCGCACGTAAATTTATCATGCGAATCAGAAAAGATGACGATACCGTACCCACGTCATGATGCTTTGTAATCGTAATGTCAAGGGTTTTTCAATAAAATTTTGTTGCTTGCATGCCAGTACAAACGAGAAAAAACAAACAAATTACTGATTGTTATCCACGAAATGTTAGGGAAGGCCGCCAGCGCATTGAATGAATCCGTTTGAACGGCTGCATAGAATTACGTGAATGAAAGAAGTTTAAAGTAGAGAATCGTCATACGCAGCAAATGACCGAAAACACTAATAGTGGAACATGCAGTCCTAATGCGCGATGCTATTGACTGTGGATTCCGTGCACTTCTGTTTCTCAGATGCATCGAATCAAAACTTCTGACAGCGAAAAGAAAAATTTGTTTTGTTAAAAACTTTGAATGTAATTTCGCCTCGCCACTTCACCCCGCCTCAGTCGTTCCCTCGCTTCGCTGCATTTTTCTTTCTCCCTCACTCCCCTCTCATTCTTCACCCAGTTCACGCCAAATGCTATAAAACATGTTGACTGCTTGTCGTGAAATAAGTAAACGGCTAGAGCTCCAGTGACAGCACCAAATTGCTGCGACATCGACGAGTCCAGAAGCAGGCGACAATCAATCAATCCAGTGATCGAAGACCATTTTAAAGGTTTCTTTTTGCGGATTTTTCGGCTGATCATTTGGCTCATCCTTGAAGAAACCGCAGTACGCAATGGGTTACCTGCTGAGGCCGATTAGTATACGTCCACATGACATTTTGAGAAGACGCTTCAATCATATTTAGCTTCTTGTGCTTGAACTGCTATGTGAAGCTATGTGCATGATAGAAGACAAAATAGAAAAGAAATGGAGAAATTTTCAGCTGCTTCGGTATCAAGAAGAAATAAAAGCCAAAACAGAACAAGAGTACTCCTAATTACGTGTGCAGTTATCACATCTGACTCAGGTTCATATCGCCCATGCTTTTCACAGTCTCTACTGCAATAATATTTCGCAGACTGCACTGGACAAGTGGTTCAGTATTTGTTAGTACGTACAACAAATTTGTATAATATAAAAGGAATCTTAAGTTCTCAGATACTTTTTGCTCATTTTACGCATAATGGATTTGTGATGCAACATGCCATCGTTGCCTGGCGTATGCACATTAATCGTTTAGAAAACTTCTTACATTCTTAGATCTAACGTTTCATCATCGTAGCAAGCTGGCAACTTTTTCACTCTTCTTTACTCTGAACATATCGCATCCTCGAAACTCCTGCGTGTCTTAAACGCACTCCCTCACTTCGCTGATAGTTCTTCTAAAGGTATTCCAACATAGCGTGCGGAAGATTACGGATAATAACTGGAGCATCTGTTAATTTATAGTACGATCCTCTATCTAGCAATTTTTCCAATTACTTTGACCGATGTTACATTGCTTTTTGGTCATCCTGTTACGATTCTGTCGTCTGTTTTGTCTTCTGGAGGGTATAATTGCCTCATCGGCTACCAATAATATACATATGAAATATAATAATCTGCATGTAAAACACGCCATTATCTTGCTTCTAAGCCGTCGTCAAGAAGGAATCACCGATGGCTGCTGGTTAGCATTTACTCCATTGCGGGCTAATTCTGAATGCTTTCGCCTCTTAGAGGGCGAATACGGAGTCTTCACCTTTTGACATGTGAAATTTTTCGGGGCTTTTTTTTTGCGGTGAAATCTGCTGTAGGGTGCGCATACGCTGGCAACTGCTTTCCGCTTTGCTGACAGAACCGCGTTCAACTGAAAGGTCAGTCACAGCTTCCTGCTTTATACAGTTCCTGCTTAATTCGCCGTTTTGGCGGTAGCTTAACAGTGTTCCGGTTTCTTTCACATCTCGTTAGAAATGGTCATCTCCCATCTCCCATTCACTTTGTGTCCATTTTCCTCTTAATCATAGTAATAACTGCTATGCTTTTCGGTTTCTATGGAGTGCAGCTGTAATTATACGTTTTGAGCGCCGATCCCTGGTGCCGTCGTTGTTGTTGTTGTCAACAGCAGTCGCTTACGCGAGCTTGTAAACAATCCACTGCTGCTGCTGCCCCTGGAAATGAGGGAGGATTGAGAAACAGAGAGATTGGAGTGCGCAGTGAGCAACAGACTTCTGGATGCTCGTAGGCATGCCGGAGACAAGAGGGGAACTAGAAATAGTGGAATTTTATAAATTCACTTTGATATACATAGGCAGATACACACATACACATACATGCATACATACGCAACAGAGTAAAAAGTTTCAGGATGTTGCAGCCGGAGCAGCAGTAGTGGTGTTAGTTGTAGCAGTAGCGTAGTCCGGGAAAGGAGTGTACTTGCTGGCCAGCGATGTGTTTTGAATAATGAAATGTGTTTGTATGTGTGTGCAAGAAGAGAAAATTCGTTGTAGACTTTATGGACAGTTTAATGCCAGGCTTCTTTTGCTGTACCATCGTTACTTTGGCCTGTCAAGTGCATCAGGCCTGGCTTTATTGGCTACTGCAGCAAGCTTTGGCGATGAACTGAGGTGCAGCAGTTCGTTTGGCCTAGCTTCTGCGACGATTGTGGAAGTTTCCTACGGCATCTGCTATCTGCACTTCTGCCTTACTACTCTCGAAGTGTACTTTCTGGATTGTTCTGCTACGCAACTGGACCTGTGCGTCATGAGACACAGCCTGAATTTAAATTTCCGGAGTCGCACATGGACAGGAAGTATCTCGTAGAATTTCAGCTTTTTAGCTTGCCTGATTTTCGGATGCGTGCACCTCATTTTCCCCCAGTTACAGTCATCCACTCTAGTGTTTGAACTGGTTCATCGCTTATGAGATCCGCCATCAGAGATGCTGTTGGCCTTCTGGGTTGCATGTTTGATGGCATTCCATGCGGGACGTGTGTGTTGTTAATATTTCATCGTCATCTAGGATACTTCTCTATTCCCCCTTCCAATTTTTTTAAGAAAGAGAGACAGTAATTTGAAGTACAGCTAAACTATGGTCACTTGTAACCGAATGACCATAGGTTGCTTCATGCTTATCTCAAATCCAACATGCTTCACAGCTGTTCCCTGCAAAACAGTTTTATAAGTCTTTTAGTAGGAAAATGATGCCTCATAACTTACCTGCGTTTCGAATATCTCAAAACTGCTTCGAAAAAAGAACCAGGTTGAACAGCACGTAGAGATATTCGCTCGAATGAAAACGAATCGTGGATGAAGCCGTTCAAGCAGTTACGGGCATATCTCCTGCAACCTTGATGTGCAAGCTTGGTTATCCTCCCACCTACATATCAAAGCCGAAACATTTATGCTGGAAAAGAAGCACTGAAAAAGAACTACTTCCAGGCCGTCCAGTTACTGCCGACTAAAAAGAGGGGAGGTGTTGGTAATTAATGGCCAACTTGAATCGAAGGGCG